CTCTCAATCTAATCTGATCTATTGTTTTTTCTTGTTTTTATTTATTTATTTTTTTTGTATATTTTACTAAAGGGTCTCTTTTGCTGCTTTTCATTTCATTTGTATTATAATATATATTTTTTTTTTTTTGGTACTTATAATTTTCGCATACATTTTATCGGCCTGTCAAAAATTTCACTAAACTGGGTTAGGCTTGCCATATAAATTAATATTAATGTATGTATATGTATATGTCATTTAATATTTTTTTGTTTTTAATTATTATTTTTTTTTTTTTTTTTTTTTTTTTAAATTGTTTTTCTGCATAGTACAACTAAAATTTTGTGTCCTTTGCATGAATCCGTCACATGCGGAGCTTCACTGCTCTATGCCGGGCGGAGGGGGAAGTCCTCCCAAACTCAAAATGTGCGCCTGTCGCTGCGGACCGTCGCACCACCGCACCACTCAGGCAGCAATGTGTGTTGTCGCTGGCAGCAAGTACGAGTAGATGTGGTGCTGCAGCGGCTGCGGCTGGTGGTGCTGCTGAAGGTTTTGGTAGTGGGTCAGCGGCGTTGGTGGTGCTGCCGGTGCATTGGCGCTGCCGGGTCAGGTCGCTGTCGGCGTCATCAAGAACTGCTGCTGCTGATGGTGGTGGTGCTGGTGATGATGGTGATGATGATGATGCGGCTGGTGGCTCTGATGGAAATGCTGATGTTGTTGATGATGTGCCTGCTGCTGTTGCTGTTGTTGTTGTTGTTGCTGCTGCTGCTGCTGCTGCATTTCACGCTCTAGTTTCTTAGCGAGCAAATCATGCCTTGATTCCATACCCGCTCCTCTGCAAGTAGTTTGGTAGAACAGTTGGCGTTGTAAGTGGTTGTCAGTGAGGTTTGGCACTGGGAGCTGTGCATCCAGTGATTTGGATAGTTCTTAAAGCGTTACACATTAAATGGACTCGACATGCATGGCTGCCAGACTATGTGTTTGCATGTGTATGCATGCGTCTGTGTGTGTGGTTCTCAACTCCGCCAGCATACCACACAATGAGCACATGCACACACATAACCTTCAGCTACTTTTTTATAGCCGAACCTCTATAAGAATCATGTTTTATTTGTAAACAGCATGCAAAGAAACAAAGATTCGCACAGCAGCCTCAAGCAGCAGTTCCCTGAAGCCCCACCCATCCCTCTGGTGGTTAAGCAATTTTTACGATGGTGCTGACCTCCTCGCCCAAACACAAAAGCCCCTAGCTTTACTACCGAAACGAAAGCGAGAAGCTCTCGCAGCTTGTAAAGCGCTTTAAATTGATTAAGAGTCGGCAGCCAACCCCAAACAGCAGAGAAACTTACTGAATATCGAGCTGCAAATATTTTATCGTAATAAACTTTTTAGAACTTGACTGCAAATCAATTTCGAGAAATCAATTAAAAAGCAATACAAATTTACATATCTGCTTTCATGACTGTGTCAGCCTCGATTACTTAATCCTTCATTCTCTTTCCACATAACTATAACTATATCTTATTACTCATTATTTGTGTCATTCCTCTACCTATATTTGCTTAGATACTCCCCTCTGATGCATAGAGCTCTCTCTCCTATTACCGTCTCCTCTAAAAACCTTAGACATTCTATTCACAATCATAAGCGAACGAATCCTTTAGCTGCTTTCCTTTCGTAGTCTACCGATTTTTATGTTTTAAACTACTTTTCTTTAGAGTAATGAACGACGCGTCTTGGGGGTGTCTCACATAATTGTGGGCGTGGCTGTGTGTGCTTTGCATTTTGTATAAAGTTAGCATGCTCTTGTTACTGTTTGAGGCTGCTACTGCTGTATTTATTTGCTGCTCCTGCCGCGCTACTCTTGTTTCTTTTTGTGATCACGAAAATTGAAAAAGTGAATTTATGCGTTCTCTTAGCATTTAAAATAAGTGCAGCAAGCAGCATACATACTATGCATGTGTGTGTGTGTGTGCTCAACTTAAGGTGAACAAAATGTTGTTGTTGCGATTAAGCGGAAGCCATATAAACTGCAGAAGTAGTACGTGGAGTGTGTGTGTGTGTGGGCTTATATATGTGTGTGAGTGTAGCATAAAGTGAAGTGCTAAAGGGTGGCCATAAATCGTTCCCCGTGCATGTGTGTGTGTGGGTGGGTGGGTGGTTGGTTGGCTGGTTGGTTGTAGTTGGGTCTGTATGTTGGTCATATATGTTTTTTATAATTTGTATTTAAATGCCTGCCTGGTCGCAATTTTTGCTGCTGCTGCGGCTGCTGCTGCTGTTGTTGCTGTAGCTGTTGCTGCTGCTGTGTTGCTGCTGTTGCCATGCAAAGTAAACGAGCCGAGCTAAACAATAACAATTTGCAATTTCATAAATAGTTAATTGGCTTTGCCTTTTTTCAGGCGGGCTGCATACAATTCGCTTATAATATATGGTGCTTTAGCTTGGAGGCTTAAAGGTCGTGAGTTATGGGCAGAACCCTTTGCGTGTGAGAGTGGGTTTGCATTAAATATTTCAAGCGCTTAGAGACTATACAGAAGCGGGCTTAAGAATTGCTGAGCGATAGTTAAGTGTGTGGGTGTGCGTGAGACAGAGAGAGAAACAGAGTTAGACAGAAAGAGAGAGAGAGTGAGAGTGAGAGTGAGAGTGAGTTAGCAACTACATAAACGAAATTATTTTTACTTTTAGGTTTACTCTTAGGTTTCATTGATTGCTGTTTGGTGGGTTTACTTTTTGTGTCTTATTTATCATATACATACGTCTCTAAAGAGATGATTTTGGTGGTGCTGATTTGGATGAAGTTGGTGGTGCTGTAGTGAGTTAACGACAACGCTAGTGGTGCTGGTGCTGGTGCAGCCGGCAGATGGCTGTACTTGTAGTGGTTGCTGTTGTTGTTGTTGTTGTTGTTGCTGTTGCTGTAGTTGCTGCTGCTGTTGTATTTGCTGTTGCTGTAGCTGAAAGTGTTGTTGCTGCTGCTGCTGTTGCTGCTGCTGTTGTTGGGCGGATGCCTGTGCCGTGATGAGCATATTGGCATTCGCAACATGTCCCAAATCCAAGCCGCTATTCAATAAAAATAGTTGTTGCTGTTGTGCTGCGACTGCTGCTGCTGCTGCTGCTGCTGCCTTGCCATTCATCAGCGGCAGCGACAGCTCGTTTAGCATCTTGGACTTGGCGTACTCGATGCGAATGCAGCCACGATCTGAACTGAGCAGGTACTTGCCCTGCAGCTGGTGCATGGCCTGCGCAGCACTCGGAGCATCGTTGAATTCAATAAAGGCAACCGGATGCTGCTGCTGTTGCTGGCCAGAATTGGTGTTGCTGCTGCTGCTGGTGGTATTGCAGTTTGTGGCGGTGGCTGCTGCTGCTGCTGCTGCTGCTGCTGCTGTTGACAATTGGTGGTTGACAGTTGCAGTGTGGAAAGTTGAAGTTGGTGTTGGAGAAGGCAGAGTTGAAGACAAAGTTGGAGGCATAGAAGATGTGATATTGTGCGTACCTTTTGTGTGCATTCGGAGGCGACAAAAGCCAGGCATACTGTGCATATATATGTTAACGTATTTGAGTTGCATATACGGTATATGTGTATACACACATAAGTGTATATATAGGTGTGTAGGTAGTAGTCGGTTATCGATAGTTCATGTATAATACAAGTGATGGGCAACAAACGACAAACCAAAGAGAAAACGCAAAAGAGATGCTGATTAGTCTTTGCGATTAGTTAGAGTTTTGAGAAAAAATTTATGGTGCAGTTGGTGGTTAGGTGGTTCTGGTGGTTCTGGTGGCTTTGGTGGTTTCGGTGGTTTTAGTGGCTCGTTTAGGTGGCTGCTGTGGTTAACAATGTGGTGCAGTTTTCGCTCAACAACTCAAGCTTTGTGACGTGTTTACGTGTGTATATCGGTATATCGTTTATCGTTTCTGGCTTAGCCTATATCGATAAATGTTAATCAGAGTCAAAGTCATTAATTTACCTAGAGAAAACCTCCTTAAGCTCGTGCTCGGACACGAACTGGCCCAAGTTGGCTACGAACAGCGTCGAGCAGGGCGCATTGGCGGCTATTTGTGGGTTGGCCGGATGCGCGGCATTGTTGGTGGAGCCGGCGGGGCTAGCCAGAGCGGGACTGGATAAAAAATGATGATGTGATGCGGCCGCAGCGGCGGCGGCGGCGGCTGCAGCAGCTGCTGCTGTTGGATTGCCGGCAGCACCCTGCGGCGCTGCAGCGGCGGCAGCAGCGGCGGCTGCTGCACTAGCAGCACCACCGGCACCACCGCCGCCAGCGCCCAAGTGCGCCATGGCCGCCTGCTGGCTGGGATGTAAAGCGGTTGCAGTTGTCTGATGATGTGGCATTGTCATTTGAGTCTGCAACACGCAACAATTAATAATCTTTGTGTGTGTGTAGGTGTTTGGGTGTGTGGGTATGTGGCGCTGCGAGTTTACTCACTTGATGCATAGGCTGCTCCATTACTTTGTCTGTATTTAGTCAGAGATAGGAGCGTACGGGCACCTGCGGATGCAGTGCCGGATGCACGAGTGTTGCATGCTGCAAGGCAGCGGCACCGGGCAGCTCAGCGGCGGCGGCGGCTGAGTACGCTAACGGATGATGCCATAGCTCGGGTCCGCCCGGAAAGAATGGCCCACCCAGATCTATGAGAAAATGGAATAGAAAACGAGACAAAGAGAAAGTGGGAGAGAGAAAGAGACAGAGAGAGAAGCGAGAATTCAGTTGAGCGCTAGTTTATAAATTTATATCATTTTTCATTAGGTTAAAAAGGTTTTTTTTTTTTTTTCTAAATTCCCTTCTTATTGGTTTGTAAAAATAAGTGAAAAAAAAAAACGAAAATATTGATTGTTTTCAAGTTTGTTTCCTAAGTTATTCGTTTTCTTTGCATATGAAAAATTATTGTACATAATCTGAACTACATATTCATATTACATATTCATTCGATATATAATATATATAAAATTTTATATTTCTTTTTACACTACAAACTGTGTAAGCGCGTGTCTTAGTGTATGTGTGTGTGAGTGTGATTCAAACAATGTGTTACAGTGATCATCGAAGTGCAGTTACATATCATAGTTGTTTGCTGTTGTTGTGGTCGTTGTTTTTGTTGTTGTTGTTGTTTTTTTGCAGTTTGTTGAGCTGTTGCTGTAACCTATCTAAATATGTATAGCGAAATTTAGTTGGGGCATACGATCATCGATCACAATTAATATACATATATAGCCATATATACGGTATATTTATATATATATCTGAATTTGTATTAATAAAGAGAGATAGATACAGAGAGAGAGAGAGAGAGAGAGTGCACTTGAAGCGAATTTCAACTGTTCAATTGTTGGATTATCGTTGTGTTCGTGTGTGTGTGTGAGAGAGAGAGAGAGAGAGTCATAATAATTAGGAAGTGCGCTGCGTACGCTCCCTAGGCACGCCATCAATTCGTTAGATTGAGATAATTATTGTGTGTTTTTATTTTTCGTTTACTATTTACTACATACATAAACCAAAAGAAGAATATTTTGTAACTAAAAAAAAATCAGCAGCTGCTGAATCGAGCCTTCTTTTTTTTTAGTTAATCAAATTCGTTTTGTTTTTATTTTTTTTTACTTACGTCCAGTGAGTGGGTGCATCAATGCAGGATGTGAGGCTGTTGTCGCTGTATTGGGCTGTGGTTTGGGTTTGCTCACTTTCGTGTTACTCTTGGCGAATTCCAAGCGAATTGTTTGGGGCATATCGGGATCGAAGCGTACACCCTGCTGTAAATGATCAGATCAAGATACAGCGGTTTGTATTTTCTATTTGATTTGCATTTTTGTATAGTAACTTTCATTTTATTTCTTAATTTTTTTTGGAAAATAAAAACAAGTGATTCTCAATTCGACTCTGGGAATTTCTATTCGACTGTCTTAATTTCTACTTGTAAACTTGTTGACTTGCAACAATTCGCCAAAAATAATTTCAAATGTCGCATATCTAGTGTTCAGAAATAAAGAGAGAGAGATAGATGGGCAGAGCAGATTTTGTATATTCTACTTTGATCTTCGACTTCTGATCGGGACTTAGAATCCAACTTGTTTTTTCCCCTTGGATGCCTTGCCCTGCTCAGAAGTTGACGGGTTAGGGGTTACTTGGATCTAATTTAGAGCGTTGGTGTTGCTGTGTGTGTGGGTGTGTGTGATATATATGCACATAAATCAAAAGCAGGAGATGACAACAGCAACTGCATAGGAGGAGCACCTATGAGTGTGGCGCTTCGGTTCTTTCCACTTCATTAAAGAGATTCGGTGCCAATGGGTGGTGCCTAGGGGTTGATTGGGTGGCATTGACATGCACCAGCCATTAAAATTGTTCACTAATAAATTATTTATTTATTATATATATATGTATATATATTGTTGGTGCTTCATTGCCTCGTTGCAGTTGCTATATATGAGAGAGAGACTGAGAGAGAGTGTGTTTAATGTGATGTATATGTGTTTAGTGTGGTGGTGTGACAGAGAGCGAGATATTGAGATAGAAAGGGAGAGGGTAGTTTTCTGAGAGCGAGATGCAATACCGAAACAATAAAAGAGAACAAATCAATAGGGAAAGACTTAAATGTAAATGCGGTGAAGGTTCTTTCAAAATGCAAGCACGTGTGAGAGGTACATATTCTTGTTGTTGTAGTAGTTGTTGTTTGTTGTAGTTGTGGCTGTGGGTCTTGAGATAAGATTGAGGGACCTAACTGTTCTTAACGCTTAGTGTAAGCCAGGCAAGTTTTATTTATTTATGTTTTTTTTTTTTTTTTAACATATTTGTTTTCTGTGTGTGCTTTACAATCTAAGAAGTGTAGTTTTTTTTGATACGGCGTAAATTTAGATTTGTTTGTTGCCATTTGGGGAAGTCTTTTGGCAGACATTGCTAAAAATATTCAGTGTTTATCGCATATATTTATATATGTATCAAGTTAACAAAATGTATAATAGTAAGAATATAATAATATGTTTTTAAATTTCCTTGGCTAAACAATTTGCCTTAGTAGTTACCTGCAGATCCTGTTTGGCTGCCTCGGCTCCGGCTCTTGTATGGAATGTTACGAAACCAACGGGCTGTGGTTGAATAAGGTCGATGTCAAAAGGTTTTTACAGTTGCTTATCTCATAGGTGCTCTTAGGCCTTTACTTACCGATGCTGTTTTGCCATTTTTGCTGGTTACTTTCAGTAGAGATCCTTCGTAGCCCTAATAGTTGAAGTAAAGTGTTTAAAAATATATAACAGAAAGAAGAATATTTCTTTGAAATATCCTAATTATTGCTAGCTAACTTTTGCAGCATCTTAAATTGTCCGAAATAATATTTTAAAATAGAAAAGTGTGAATGTTTTTTATCTCAATTTTATTCTAATTCTTTAGATGACTTTAATGCCAATGTCTTCGCTGTGCCTTTGCAACTGTCTGGATACTCTTCTTCTTCTCCTAATGTTGTTTTAGTCGTGTCGATAGTAATATAGTTAAGTATCGATACCATTATAATTAGTTATCAAAAATTAACTATGGCGAATTCCATATAATGTAATCTAAACTTTTAAAATCCTTTGGTTAGTATTTTCCTTTGGTGTCCTCCTCTTTCACTTAATATAATATCATATTCAATCTACTCCGACTTTGCTGCCTTGGCACTTTAAAGAATAAGAAATTCAGTTTCAAGAGCTTCCGGCCCCCTCTTGGACTTTAAGAGTTTGGTCTCTATGGCCAAGTGCGAGACTTGGATAAGCATGCGTCTGCCTGGCTAGTTTTCGTCTTGGATTACTCACCTCATAGGCTCTGAATAGCAAATAGAGTTCGCGTGGCTTAGCATCCATTGGCAAGCCGCTGACGAACAATGTGCGCACCTGCAGCAGATAAGAGAAAAAGATAGATGGATTAGGCACAAGTGGGATGGAAAAGGAGAGGCGGATATAGAGTTAACAAATGTATGTATGTAAATATATATTGTGGGAAACCAATTTCCTATGATTGTATTATTAACTTAAGGCCAACACTAGCGGGCGACGCGATGCAGAAGTGAGCCGGAAACCTTTGGCCGCCATTTCAATGTGTCAAATATTCAAATTTCGCTGCTACCCGAAGCCCAAAAAGTTCATGGCACGCACACACGTACACACATATGCGAGGCAGCGTGCATGTGTGTGTGTGTGTGTACCTATCTTTGTGTGTAGTGATAATGAAAGCAAATGGAATAAGCGCCATAAACGCTGAATTCATTAAGGCAACGACGTGACGCGCTGAAACAGAATGAATGTGTGAAGAGTGAGGGAGAAAGAGAGAGAGACATACACACAGACAGAGAAAGAGAGAGAGAGAGAGAGAGAGAGAGAGAGAGAGCGAGCGTGTCAAGGGGGCTTTGGGATCTAATGAGCCTTGCCGCATTTTTGTTGTCTCTCTTTATTTTTAACACCTAGCCTAGCAGATGGATAACAGACGGGCCAAGCTGTGTCAGCTCTGAGCTGTGGGCTATTTTTAGTTAGCATCCATTTGTCCCTTTTTGCTGTAGAAAAGCGTGTTCTGTGGCTTATAATCGGTTTCATTTAAATTTTACTGATTTCACTTCATATATTTAATTGCTGAGGGTGATTTGAATAAGCTAAGAATTTAAGGGTTGATATATATCCAGAAGTATTGGTAATAAGTTATGGTATTTGAATTTATTGACCTTTTTTGTTTATTCTTTTT